ACCAAAAAAGGGTCAAATTCTTTGCTTTTGTGACTAGAAATAATTGTATTAATGCCCCTAGAACTTTTAGTTATATTTACAGTTGTTTGGAGCTCATATTTATTCTGTGTTGCTATTATTTGTATTGCCTCCCTTTTGCATTTCTCTCAGGATTATGACCCATTTTTTTTCTAATTTACAGTGAGCCTTTTTTTTTCCTCTCTTAATACCTACACTCCCTGATTGCTTTTAATTTTAGATCAACAATTCACAATACAAATTTGCATAATAATATTTCCATTAAACTTTATGATTTGGATTGAATGGCAAAATCTTTCTTCATCTCTAAATTTTATCTTTCATATKTAATTTTTCTTTAACTCTGGATGAACAGTAGAAACTCACAATTTCATTCATACAACCTTAACAACATAATTTTGATAACACTGACATCTAAGTTCTCCTTAGAAGAGGTTGGTTTTGGTTTTAATACTGACTTTGCTGCAAGATGCYTGAACCAGGAATGTGTGTTCTCCTCTTGCTTGAGAAGATGTTTTAATAAAGCCTGAGTGGAATAAGAAATCACGACCATATCCAGAATGTCTTAACCTCCTTTTAGGACTATTTCAGATGAGGAAACTTCTTTTCCAGTAGGTTTTACAATCAAGCTTCAATATATATATGTATTATATATTATACATTTTCAGCATTTTCTTTTCTTTTTTTCTTCTAACACTTGCTTTTCCTTTTTATTTGATTTCTTAAAAAAAATATTGGCAATGCAACTGTTTCAGAGACTCGAAGAAATAACTAAGCACAGAATCACAGCACATTCTGAGTGGGAAGGACCCTTGGGTCCAGCTCTGAAGGGAATGGCCTGTACAGGAACTGAAGCTGTGATGTTATTAGCACTGTGCAATTAGCACAACTCTGAAAGCCTCAGGACTGCTACCTCCACAGCATCCTCAGGATTCACTGTTTGTGTGGAACCAAGGAATCATCCAGGGGTGGAGAAAAGTATCTCCTTAAAATGGAAAGAGCTTGGGACTTACGTGCACCCTTCAAATAGAGCATGGCCTGAGGAGTCCAGTTCCTCCTTTGGAAATGAGCCTTTATGCAAAAAAAAAAAAAAAAAAAAAAAAAAAGGAGAGACATGTCAACATTCCATGCCACTGCTAATTATTGCAAATACTTAATGGCACCAACCTCTGAGCTTCATGGCCTTCAGCCTGAGCTCACCTGAGGGGCACTCCGGGASAAGGAAATGAAGGATGCAGCCAGGAACAGGGCCAGGACAGACACTGTGAGTTTATGCAGCCCCTGTGCACAACAGAGAACCACAAGGTGCAGGAAAMGCCTTTCACATCTGTATATCCTCCCAACCTCACATCTAAATTTGAGGGTGTTTCCAGCCACCCTTTGTCCCTGTCTTGCTGCCAAACYTCCTCTTGCTCAGGGGGTGTTGCAGTGCACACTGATCTGATCAGAGGACTAATGTTAAGCAGAACAATTAGATCAAATCCATTCCATCCTGGTGAGAACTACTGCCAAGGCAAGCACCTGCTGTGCTCCTATTTACAAGAGCATCAGAACCTCCAGAAATGAGAATAATGTACAAACTAATGGGTAAAGATGGTACGAAGTCTATCTTGATTTTACCAAGCTGTAGACAAGTTAATGTAAGGTGCTTGTCATTACAAACAAACAAACAATCCAGGAGACCAAATTCCCACTTCCCCAGGTAAAAAAAAAAAAAAAAAAAAAAAAGAAAAAGAAAAAAGTTTTTTAAACTTAGCATCCTATCAATATCAACCACGATTAACACAAGTCACAGGACAGGCTTCTTCAATTCCTGGAGTTTGCTCACTGGTGCAGCACATGCAGATGGAAGCATTAAGCATGAATCCTCTGTGCACAAGTTGCACCTCTGCTTGTTCACACAGACCATGTTGTTATTCATGTGTGGATAACAGTGATAGACAGCACAGCCTCTAACTTTGTGTTTCACAGTGTTTTGCTTTTTTTTTTTTAATTCAGGATTGAGAGCATGTTGTGCTACTGGTGTTTTTTGAAAATATGCATAATATATCTATGTGTATATTTCTTTCAGGTTATTTTTAAGGAAAAAATTTAAGCCCCCCTGCAGCTCCTAAATATTGCGCTCACATTAAAAAAATACAAAACATTAATTGCAAACTTAATGTTTCCTCCACACCAAAAAATTCTCTTACCTTCATACTTGCCTTGGTGACAAACCTTCAGGCTTCTTTCCTTGGGATGATGTGTCACAAGGTCTCCTTCCTACATGTTCAGGGGCCCCTTTTTAAACCWTCAGAGTGAAGGTGCCCTCCCCTTCCGTGGCAGGGCAGAGGAGTATGAAGGGATTTCTTGTCAGCCCTGTAAAAGGAAAAGCAGAAGGTCTGATGACTCCTGAGGGAAACCTGCAGCCTTGCAGGAAGTCATGATTGAAATGATTGAAAGATGGATGCACTTGGAGATGCACTCCATTAACCAGCTGAATGCCTTCTGAATACATCAGCATCACTCCTGTGTGCTTGCAGTGCATCACCTTCCTGCTGGATGATCAATAATCACAGCCAGAGTGGGTATTAATATGGATGGTGAGGGTTTATCCAGCATAATCTAGCATATATCAGACTAATATCCATGGTAGGAGCTGGAAAAGCTGGTAAATTTCTCCCCAGCATCAAGAAAAAAGTGACTTACCCAGTGTCACAAGCTTGAGGTTGTTCCTTGCATACCTTCAGAGGATTCTCTAGTGATCTCTTGCATCTGGTTTTCTTAGACACAAGTAAAAGTACAAAGCTGAACAACAACAAAAATACAGAAAAAAACTCAATATACCCTGAACTTCTAATAGTCAGAAACACTTTCCTGGGTCATGGATTGGAGTAAAAGCCCAGATCATGGGCTTGAACAGGTCAAGCAGTGGAGCAGCAAACAGAAAAGAGGTAGGAAGCAGGGATCAGAGAAGTCTGATGAGCTACTTCTGGGTGTTTGCTGGGCTTACTGCAGTCATGGAGGGTGGTTTTGGTCCTCAGGCAGAGAGCTAATCGTGCTTGGTGCCTGGGCATGCTTGCTCTTTAGCCAGGGTTTTCATCTCTCCTTCTGCATTTTTGTTTTTGCAAAACATGAGGTGGAAGAAGGAGAAACAAAGCAAACAAGGAGAGAGAAATTTGCTGATTAGAAGACCAATGGAAAATTTACTGCAGCAGCCTCATGAACTGGGCCAGCCCATGGTGTGACAAAAATGCAGGTCAGCCTATGCATATGACATGGAGTCCAATGAGGAATATGCAGGGAGGCACTGCTGCTGCTCACTGTGAGCTTCTCCCTGGCTCTGTATCTGTGGACATTGCTCCAAAGCACATTATTAAGTGAAGGTGCAATTCCTGTCCAGCTTTTGGAAGGTATCACTCTGTTCTCTGCGCCTGCCACACAGAATTGCTCACTGAATATACAGAACTGGCATCAGCTGCAGCTCACACTGGTGTAGGGCCAAGAAACCAGAGGGAAGTTCAGGTTTTGGTCTCAAGAAGCCCTTGTGATGGCTGGGAGCTGCTGTTAGAGCTCTGTCCTTTTTAAAAGGTCATGCCATAATGTATCCTGGGCAGCAGAAAGGATTCTACTCACATCTATTTCAGTGTGAAGTTTACATTTCCCCTGCTCTTTTCCCCCCGATTCTGACCGATCACAGACATTTTGTCTCSGTTTAAGACAATATTTTCAGAGAAAAATGTTACAGAGTAAATGTTTCCTCTGAAGTGAAAAATTTGATATTTTTTTTTTTTTTTCCATAAATATGAATTAGATGTTCAGGCAAAAGTGAAGAGAAAAAAAGTAGTTTATTAACAAAACACAGTGCCCACAGGACACAGATTAAAAAGTGACTGTTAGATATTTAAAACTCAGGAACACATGCAGCCCCCTCGCCCAACAAACCGCTTGACCAGGTGGTGCGGAGAAAAGATGGTGGCCCTTGTCCCCGGGATAAAAAGAAACAAAAGAAAAAACGTCCACCTGACCGCTCAGGTAACAGTGGCAACCTTGTGGCAGTCCTCACTGTGTATTTGTAACAGAGGGCTCCGTGTTTTTTTCTGTCGCCAGCTTGGCTTCTTCTGGAGTCCAGGATGAGACGGAGCAGTGCCACTTGTCCCTGCTGGCTGCCGAATTGCTCCAGAAACAAAATCACCCAAGTCGGAGAAGGAGGTGGCAGTCGAGGGAAAAACTGTTTGCCCAAGCTGACAAACACGAGCTAGCTAAACTGCAACATGTAACTCCACGGCACACAGCAATCAAGGACTCCCGCAGCAACCATGCTGAGGTCAAAAAGTCCCCGGCTGCAAGGCTGCCCCCGCTTTTAGACTGCCCACACTGCCCCTGCCCCTTCTTCCAAGTTGGGTTTAAAGGCCCAGACCCTTTTTGGTCATACAAGCTGACAGAATGTAGGAATACAGGATTGGAACGAAATCAACCCAATCACATTTCTTGACGATGCTTAACCCTTAGGCTTAGAAGGGGACTGTGCAATGCATCCAGGAGACATTTAACATGCAGAGGCTTGGAAAMGGTAAAACTATTCAACTATATCCTTCTGGAGTGTCTTCAGATGTTCCTGTCATGCAGAGATCACAGGGCTGGAATCAAAAAACTTTCTTCCAAGCCTGTGAAAATTCAAGCCCCTGCCTTTGAGAYTGGTCAGTGGGAAGTGTAATCCATTCAGGACAATTCTTCTTGTGGCTGGAAAACCAGAATGTGTCTGGCACTGAAAAGAAACCATGCTTTTCCTGCCACTGGAATAAGACAAAATTCCAAAACTAAACCGGAGAAACAACCAGCTCAGCCCCTTCTGTTGTAATTGGAGCAAAGAGGAGGAGAATGGGAGTCATGGAGAAAGATTTATTTTGTTACCACACTGTAGAAAAACATCTTCAGTTTTTCTTATCTTTTGACAACTTTGCAAAGTCTGAGCTGCTCTGGTATTGCCGGAGTCTCAGTCTCTCTTCCTAACTTGGCTCTATTCCCAGAGTCCCACTGGCCTCCTTGTGGAGGTTGGGGCTTGTTTGAGGCTGTCTGGAGGGCAGCAGGGAGCTGAACTGAGCAGCTCAAAATCTGAGCTGCCTGGTTGTGGGAACAGGTGACCACCAGATCAAGAACAAAAGCAGGATCTTGACAGCATCACCTTAAATTRAATGGTTTTATTGTCATAGCACCAGACTTCTCAATGACACCAGAGTGTTAAAACTCAGGAATTTAGTTGCCACCTACAGCAAGAGACAGTTGACCTTGGCCAACTCCTATTCATGGCACCTGAGACATGCACAGGGAAGTGCCAGCTGTAACACAGGACCTACAGCACCCCTGAGATTTGTGGAGGAACAGCTGAAGGGCAGCCAGGATCCCTAGGGCACCTAAAATGTCACTGATTGCTTTTGACTACCAATTGAATCCTTCTTAGAGTGGAAGGCARTAGCGCTTCATTGAGCATCACCCCTAGGTGATGAGCCAAGGTGGCCACAAGGTGCAAAGCTTTAGGAGAGAAGGGCTGAATTCCTCTCTGGACGTGTCTGTGTCTTCTCACTGTCTTCAGCCAACATCAGGTGAAATGAGCCCAGTCTCAGGTTGCATTTCCATAATATTTTTGAGGTTTGTTTTTTGTTTTCAAAAGGTTTTTATTTTTCTCTTAAATTGTCTGTGCCTTTATGACTTATGACTTTAAATCTATTTATTTTTATTATGACCAGTGACTCCAAGTTACTTTTGACTTTCAAACAAAAGTGTATTTCAATACCATCTTCTTGGAAATCTGTAAGAGGTCTGCATGCAAAACAATGAAGTCCAGGTTCATCAGTTCTACTTCAGTGATCAAAACGCAAAAGACTCAGCTTCTCCCTTCAAAGCTTTCTTTTGCYATGATCCTATGAGAAGCTGGCCATCTCACCCTTCCCATAAATCCAGCTACTTCTAGGATGACACATAGGACACAATTTATTTGCAAACAGGAACAGGAGGCAATGTTTTGGAAGGCAGTGCAGGTACTGAGAGTGTTTGCATTCACAAAATAAATGTGGATGCGTACGYGCACATGTGAGCTCATACCCTTGAAAAATGAAGCAGCCTGTAATTGGGTTATGGATCATAACACACCAAAAAACTGTGGCACTTCAGGGTGATGAGCTGTACATGAAACACTCATTGTCAGCGCTGCCATTTCTCAGCTGATTCACCTRCAGGAGGAAGTGGCTTTGGCATGTAATCAATAACCTGAGTGAGGGATGTAGAGGGCAGCTTGCTATAGCAGCAGGAYCCCTTATTAGAAAGAACATAACCTATTCTTATTCTTAGAGATGATTTAAAGGGCACAGGCTGCATATCCTGACACTGTAAACGATAAAAAGCTAATTTCTGGRATTGAAATTCAGTGCTGAGGTGAGGGAAAAGTTCTCGTGTGCTGGAGTTTTAACCAGTGGGATCAAACCTGCATCACGGACTTGCGTCACGACCGTGCACTTTCCCAAATCTTTCCCTGAAACTATAGGATGCAGCCATTGTGCCTGTGTATTTTTAACTGCTGCTAAGGATACCGGTGACCTGTGGCTTGCTCCCGAGATAAAGGTGTAGCACACGACAGTGTGTGTAGGTGGTCAGTGGGTACGTCAGCAAACACTGGTGCCATCAAGGTATAAATCTCCTGGAACTTACGACCTCTGTTCTTGTGCTTATTCTCATTTCCTTTGGGTTTGTTTGTTTTTTTTTTTTTTACTGTTAGCTTGGTAACTGGAAAATACATCCCAGTTACATCTGGCACCTGAACAGCGCCTAGCACAGTGTACTTCTGGCTCCTACATGCTACTGTAGCATCTTAAAGGGCTATGAAATGTCAGGGCAGAATGGCAAAGCAGAACATTGCAAAGTATTTTTCATTTAATTTGCAGTAATTTGGATAGTAAAGCAAGCTTTCTACCAGCAGCAAATTCAAGTATAGATTGCCCTGGAAGGACGTTGATTTGTTATCACTGAGAAACTCAGAGAACAGATTAGACAGCCACTTTTCAGGACCTTTTGCCCAGCTGATCCTGCCCAAACACATGGTGATGAACTGCATGACCTGTCAAGATCTTCTTTTTGGACTATTTTTCTGTGTTTCTGTGATTGTTCAAAGCTGACTCTGAGTGTTAACCCTATATATTCCATTCAGACTAAGAGGAAATTTGTGTAGATGTTCTGTACTTGCCCTGTAAAACCTATTGATGCAATCCACCAGTACATTTTATCCCAGGCAAACATGTTTTTCAGTGTTATTTATTTTAATTATAGGCCTTAATTTACAGAACCCTCTCTACAATGACCAGGGATGTCTTCACCTTCTCTGGGAAGCTGAATTTTCATGGTGCAGCTCTAAAGGGAAGAGATGCTCTTGGGTGTAAATCAGGTGCAGGATTACARAGGCCATCAGTTGCTGGCCCCAAATTTGTCTAAATTCCTGTGTTGCACCTTCAGCACCACAATGTCTTTGGGAATGTTTCAAGCACTGCAGAGTTGATAGAGATGCTTTTTGTCTTTTCTCTAGACTGGATGAGGAGAACTGTGCTAAAAAAAAACCTACTTGAGATAGAGAACAAGGTGTAGAAATCAGAGATCATATAAATGCCTCACACAAGCAAGGTAACAGGGGTTTTGTTTAGGGCTAATGTGTGTGCAACGCTACAGCCAGKTCCAAGCTCTACTATTCTTAGAAGTGTGTTTGTGAAAGAGAAGAAGATTCAAAGGTTAATTATAAGTCAAATTCAAATCTATTATGTGGGCTGGGGGATGTTTGGAAGCAYCAGGAAAGAGCAGAAATCCATAAATATTTGGAAGTGGTAAATATCTCAGAAAGAAGTGTTACTTCTGAAGTAGTTCAGTGAACCATAGGATGGGACAACAACATTTTTTCTAGCAATGAACAAGTCTGAGGCAGACACCAGGTGAAAAGACCAGCTTGAAAAACAGTTTTCTTCAGTTTGCAGGCTGGAAAGTAGATGTGGGCATCTAAGAACAGGCATTACAAAGTACTTCAGCAGTCCTTAAGATCCTTTCCAACTCAAACCRTTCTGTGATTTCTAAGGAAGAAAGCCTGTCTAATCAAAGCCATGCATCTGCTTATCAAACCAGAACCTATTGCATCAGCACCATGAACTTTGGTGATGATGCTGGATGGCAGTGCCAAGTTTCACTTTTACTTCACAGTTTTCCCACAAAACAGGGAACAGCAATGTTGGCTCACTTCCACATTTTGGGTTTTAATCACAAAGCACTTGTGAGGGCACTTTCCTTTTTTTTTTTTTTTTTTTTTTT